TGAGGTTCAGGTTAACTGAATTTTCTGGCTAACTGGAAGTTAAGCAGAAACACTTTTTTGTTGTAATTTCCCCACAAAGGATTATTTCGCCATTTTGTATTGGTGATATAATGAATATTGATTATTCTTCAGTAGGTCATTACTGTAGAGCCTCTGGATCTCATTCTAACAATTAGTTTCAACAATATACCAATATTGGCATACTGTATATACCAACATGCAAGTTAAAGGAATTAGGATTTCTTTTTATTATGTAAATATTTACAGAGCCTAGGAAACATATATTTTTAGCCCAAACTTCCTAATATCGCCAAAATTTTATTACAGTTTGCCTCTTTCCTAAGTAAAATAAAATTTACATTATTAAGTAATCAATATGTTATTTGATTCAAAAATTTAATTTGACTCTGACATTCCACTGGCCAGGCACAAGTAATCCCATCAATGTTACACCAGAAGTGACACAGGTTTTAGTAGTGTAATTACTTTCTGTTAACAGAGTGCAACCTCATATTTCATCCATGTTTTGGAATGATCATTAAGGAGATAAAGACTTTTTGAGGATATTTATTCATGGAGAAACTTTCTGGTCTCTGTGTGAATTGTAATGAAGCACTACTATTTTACAGAGAGAAACTGAGGTACTGAGAATCTAAAAATGTAGAAAACAATCACTCTTAGAGATAACGGAATCAAAATTGTTACAAAAAACCCTCTGCTGAATGTTCTTCCATAATAGTAACACTCCAATGTACACGTAATGCAATCTTTTTGATTAATTTTTCTCCCAAAATGGTCATAAATTTCAATAATTTATCTAACATTTTGTAAAACTCAATACATATCTAGCACTAGGTTTGCTGGCACGAGCAAAATCCAACACTTTTATTGTAATAACCCATAAGGCTTTTTAATTTAATTTAATTTTTAGAGGTAGGGTCTCACTCTATTACCCAGGTTGGAGTGCAATAATGGGGTTCACAATCACTGCAACTTCCCGCTCTTGGACTCAAGCCATCCTCCTGCCTCAGCCTCCCAAGTAGCTGAGACTACAGGTGCACATCAACATGCATGGCTGATTTTTAAATTCTTTTTTGTAGAGATAGAGTCATGAACTTCTGGCCTCAAGGATTCCTCCTGCCTCAACCTTCCAATAAAGGTTTTAAAAAATGAAAATGTAATTTTTTATATTTGAGAAATGTTTTTAATAATGTGTTACATAATAAATTGTCATGACAGTAACAGTATTTCACATTTTTCATTTACAATAGAACTACTTATCTAGAATTATCTAAAACTATTTTTATTACCAAATAATATTGAAATTAAGCAATAAAGCTATCAATAGTAACACTCATAATATATACAGTGCTCTTTACCTACAAAACATTTACTGTGTAACAGAGAGTATGTTAAATATTATATATATATATATATGTATATATATATATGTATATATATATATAATTGAATCTTTATACAAATGCTGTGAGACTGGTATTACTGTGTCCAGTTTACATATGAGTCAACTGAGTCTCAGAAAATTTACTTAAACTCTTCTAGGTTACACAGTGGTAAATGACAGAATCATGATTCCACTAAATTCTGTCTGATTCCAATGTCTATTCTCTCAGCAACACCGTCATCTTTAACATTCTTCTTCTACTTTTGTAAGTCTCAAATTATAAAGACATTTTAAAAACTTATTTCATTCTTTCTGCCGGTTCATCAAGTAACTCCTCACTCCTGAGGTTTGTGAAGTTGCTTGTTTAAAAATAAAAATAAATTTCTGTCCTCCAATCTAGATCTCCTAAATTGAATTTTCTAGAGGCCATACCTGATAATCTGCAAACTTAACAAATAACTTCAGGTAAGTTTAAGAAACACTGTCTAACCTTAGATTTTACTCTGTTCCCTTTTCACCTCTGTTCATTATTAAAAATGCATTTCATTGTATATATTTACGGTAAACAACATGATGTTATGAGCTACAGACAGTAAACAATTACTGTGCTCCTTCAAACACAGGTCATGAGGCAGTATCATTTGCAAATGGTAATCTCTTCAAATTTGATCAAATGGAGCTTACTGTTGGCACTCAGGATCAAAGGCACCAGAAGCTGCTTAAGTTTTCCCTAGGATGTCCCTGTGCTATTTCTTTTCTTTTCATTTTTTTTGAGATGGAGTTTCATTCTTGTTGCCCAAACTGGAGTGCAATGGCGTGATCTCAGCTCACTGCAACCTTTACCTCCCAGGTTCAAGTGATTCTCCTGCCTCAGCCTCTTGAGTAGCTGGGATTACGAGTGCACAACACCACGCCTGGTTAATTTTTTGCATTTTCAGTAGAAACGGGGTTTCACCATGTTAGCCAGGCTGGTCTCAAACTCCTGACCTCAGGTAATCCACCCGCCTCAGCCTCCCAAAATGCTGGAATTAGAGATGTGAGCCACTGCACCTGGTCCCCGTGCTATTTCTATCATTCAAGCAAAAGTCTGAAATGCATATTCACATTCCAAATTTTCAGAATTTATTAAGGTGCCTACTAGATGTCCGGTATCATGAAAGCACTGTGAAGAGCACACAAGGAGAAAAGCCAAGGAAACCCCTAGGGTCAAGAGAGGAATATTTAAAGACATATAGTCTAAAAAACAAAAGAATTTGGGATTACAAGAATACCTTGACAAAGAAAATTCTCAAGTAAGGGTTCTTTTAAAGATGCTGCAATTAACTAGATCTGCGCTGGAGGTGAAAATCCAATGGCAACCCTCATGTAAAGTAATTTATTCCCACAACTTCTACCTGCACCACAGGGCTTTGTTGCCTTAACATCACTTATCCAAATTAAATACTCATGTATGAGACGTGAGGGAGAGAAAGATTATGTTTAACCTCATACTGACTCCAACAGTCTTTTTAAAAATGAACCATACATGAAACACAGAAAGTTTAACAATACAATTATACTACTGATTTTTTTAACTTTATTTCCTGCTATCAAATCGCTTCATTTCTGATTAATTTTCTTTGTAATTAAAAGGTATTTTTCTACATTCAATCTCAAAAGACGAGAAAAGGCACATCGTCTCAGGTTTCCTTTGAATGTTTTTTTCTCAGTTATCTTTTGCAGTTGGGAATCATGTTACTCTCTTTAACATACTGTGTTTATTATGCCAGGATGCTAAACATGTTTTAACAGTGATGTTCATAGGCATATTTTATTTTAATTTTGAATAATATGTCCTCAACTATACACAGATCTTTTAAAAATCTATAGAAAACACAATACAGTTGAAATGAGAGCTTCTAAATTCAAGTAGTTTCTGAATTTGATAATCTGTACCCAAATTCCATTGAAATCCAGGCTTAGAAAGCAAGATTTCCATATGGAAAACTTAAGGCTGAATGAGTTTTGTAACTGAATTTACAATTGTAGGAAGAAACTCTATTTTGATTTCATTGTCTACTGTATACACAGCAGAATTGCTGTTATTTATAAAAGCATCAGGCTACCAAGGTAAAGTACTTTAAAACACAAAGCGAAACACATTTCACTGACTAATACCATAGGCAGTCAACCTCCTTATCACAATTGCCTGGAGACAGACACACCTTTTCATGTCTAGTATTCATCCTGGCTACTTTCACTCCCTCTGGAGGGCTTTTGAACTTGGATTTGACACCTCTTAAATTTATGCTTTCCGTAAATGTGAAGAGGATTTCTTTTCTTAGTTTTAGCCTTACTTGGAGTTCAAGTCTAACTTAGATTAAAGGGAAGTAGTCTTGGCCTTAGAAACTCAATGTTTGTTCTTGATCTTTCTTTTTTTTTTTTCCTCTTATTTTTATGAGGCTGAGCTAAAAAACCCAAAGTGGGATATAATGGCTTTAGACACAGGAAGGAAATATTCCTTCTCTTTTTTTTCCTAGTGTAAAAAGCCCACAAGGCTCTTTTGTACAAAGCCCACAGTAGAAGCACTCCCTCAAAAGCCACCGTTTTTTTTTTTTCTTAATAGTCTTGGAAGAGATAGTGTTCAGAAAATAGACAGCATCAAGTGTTGCTAATGTTAGACCCCAAAACAAGCTAAGTGGTTTATGGCCAGAGCTCCCATTTACTACATATACTGTCAAAATAGGAATTTTTTCCCAACCAATAAAATGTTTTTTAAAGGTCATTGTCTCTGAAATTCCACAATACACAACTTGCCACTTAAAAGGAAAAAAAAAAATAGGGGAAAGTTCTAACATGAGACATAGTGAAAAATAATCAGCATGACATCATGGAGAAAAACAAAATGGGATTATGAGAGTGAAAAACTTCTGTATTATGGATGCAAAGGAGGTGATAGAACTATTTCCTCATATCAATGTAAGATGTGACTTTGACTTTCAAAAACCTTGTATCCATAGAATATGGTATCCACTTGGGCTCATTTGATACTAAATAATAAATCTGTATCAAAATTAGCAAAGTACAAACACAATGCATTCATTCAACTGGTATTTATTGAGTGTTATGACACAGGCACTATGTGCACAGAAAATAATTTCAAAGCCCCTACTCTATGAATGAATCCTACATTCTAAAGAGTGACAGAATCTTCTTGTTTAGGCCCTTGAGAGTGCATGATCTTAAAGTAATCAAAGATTTGTTTTTGTCCAAACACAAAGTTTCCTCCAAGACAGCAAGAGCATCATTTAATTAACAGATTAGAAGGGCTCTATGTTTGAAGACCTGGAGTTTAAAGCACACTCTTGGCTTTTACTTGACCAAGAAGATAGAACTCTACATAATTTTGAACATTTAATTCAATTTCCTGTAACAAATACTTAGAACTTCCATAGGCAAAAACAGTATGTGTTCTTTAAATATGTTTGAAATACATATTTAGAGCCATACGTAAAGTCTATATGTAATATAAGCCTATACATAATATTTTCTTCAATTTTCAGCATTACATTTTGTATGCTGAAACAACCACAACAAAGACTTCCCCAATGCCTACCTTGAACAGTCAGAGTAGCAGATGCTTCAGCTTTTCCAACCATATTTTCTGCAACACAAGTGTAGGAACCCATGTCGGCAGCCATCACCTTCTTAATTTTCAAGGTATGATCATCTCGGATTTCATATCTAATGACATAACAAAAGAAAGCACAGTTAAGTGACTTTCTACTTGAAAGATCTCATCATTATACATTCAGTGCTTCAAATCACACGCCATATTCACTTCTGATAATTTAAAACGAAGCATAAAATGTGGTATTCCTCTAAGTCAGCTGGCAGAAGAAAAGCTTGTTTTTATCATTATGTGGGCTAACTACTTGCTAAAAGAAGATTTTGGGGTAACATTGGCATTTACCTACTTATTTCCTCAAGCTATTGTGCTAACACTAAAACGAAAAGATAGTGACCCCTAATTAAACTCTTATCATTTGCCAGACTCAAAATGTTTTATAGATTTTATCAAAGTTTTTATAACAGTGGTATGAAATCACTGTTATGCTCACCTTCATTTATTGGATCAGGAAACTGAGGTATAGGAGGTAAAGTAACTTGGCCTTGGTCCGCATCTAGTTCAGTGGCAGAGTTGAAATTTGAACCCACTTTCATTTTCAAGCTCACTTGTCTTGCCTCATCTTCCCTCCTCTTAAATGTTGGGCTTCCCTTGAGCTTTCACTTTAGTCCCCTTTTCACTATACATGATCTCCCTTAGTTATGTTATCTGCTATATTTTCTATATTGATCTACCATGCAAATATTTCCAACCCCTAATTTATCCAAGTTCCAGATTCAGATTTCTAACTGACTAGTAATTAGACATCACATCCCATAGGCACCTAATATTTAATGTATTAAATAAAACTTTATTTTTCTTCCCCTAACATAAACCAACTCCTTTTCTTAACACATTTACCTATCTTCTTTCACCAGCTGTCTATATCTAACAAGTCATCCAAGTTGTCATTTTAGTCTTAGAAATTTGTCTTTCCTGTAGAGTCCTGTCTCCATCTCACCTTGCAGTTCAGATCTGGATAACCACAAAAATATCCCTGCCACTAGCCTCTCCCCAGAATAATGTAACACCCATAGTGCTAACAAAATTAATTTTTCTTATTATTTTTTTGGATATGGAGTCTTACTCTGTCACCTAGGCCGGAGTGTAGTGGCATGATCTCCTCTCACTGCAGCCTTCACTGCCTGGGCTCAAGCAAGTCTCCTGTCTCAGCCTCCCCAGCAGCTGGGGTTACAGGCATGTGCCACCGTGCCCGGCTACTTATTGTATTTTAGTAGAGATGAGCTTTCACCACGTTGGCCAGGCTGATCTCAAACTCCTGACCTCAGGTGATCCACCCGCATCAGCCTCCCAAAGTGCTGGGATTATGGGCATGTGCCACCGTGCCCAGTCAACAAAATTAATTTTTTGAAAGAGTAAACCCATTTATACTAACAATCTTGGCTCACCACTGTGCATACAATATCATAAGAAATTCTTTATTATACAAAGCCCCTCTTGGTTTCAACCTGATATCTCATACTTCACATCATAAATCCTATGCCCGAGCCATGCTAAGCTTTATGCCACTCAGCATATATGACATTACTTCTCAGCTTTGTGTCTATGTTGTGATGACCTATTTCCTGGAATACTCTTCTCTTCTTCCTTATCAGATTGATACATATTTTTCAAGACATTACTTATGTGTCATGTTTCTTTGAGAACTCTCTCCCAAACTTCCCCTTTTGAGCGGGCACAGGTTTACCTTTATGTGACAAAACGACTTGTGTATTAGTCCATTCTCACACTGCTATGAAGAATATCCAAGACTGGGTAATTTACAAAGGAAAGAGGTTTAATTGACTCACAGTTTCACACGGCTGGGGAGACCTCGGGAAACTTACAGTCATGGCGGAAGCCACCTCCTCACAGGGCCACAGGAGAGAGAATGAGTGCCAGCAGGGGAAAGGCCAGATACTTATAAAACCATGAGATCTTGTGAGAACTCACTCACTATCACAAGAACAGCATGGGGGAAGCCACTCCTATGATTCAGTTATCTCCACCTGATTGCACTCTTAACACGTGAATCTCATGATTCAAGGTGAGATTTCGGTGGGAACACAAAGCAAACCGTATCAGCTTGATAATGTTATTCTGTATCTATCAATACATTTCCTTTTGGGAGCTCCTTGAGAGCAGAAACTATGTCTAAACCACTACTGTAATCCCAACACCTAGAGAGAAGGCTCAACACATGTTTGCCGAATGAATGAACATACTGGAGAAGACAGCCCACTGACAATACCTGAAAGCCTTTATTTTATTGCCTCATTCCCTAAGGCTCCCTGATTCGTGCATCTCTGCTCCTAGCCAATTTAAGGACTTGACAGATATCAAGAAATTCTGACCTCTCCTACCCTTCCCTGCTGTTATTATAGCTGAGGAAAAGGAAGCCTGATTTTTAAGTGGCTCATAGATATGTTGGTAATGCTGTATCTATTTTTCTTCCCTTTCCTGCCTACTACCATACAAAAATCAGTATTAACTGTCATCTGGCTAAACAGAAGACAAACCTGTGATATTAAAGAATATCACATTTTACAAGTGTTCCCTGTGCAGCCGAGGGTCATGAATGCACAGTTCTCTGCAAGTCTCAGATAAAGCAGGATGGCAACCTCCTGGTGCTAATTATCTCTAGTATTGTATCTGGCCCCTGATCAAGGATTCTAGAGTGGACTCTTCCAATGGCCTGGATGTAGAGAGGATGTGATGAGAAACGTAGAGATGCTGAGTGGATAAATCACATCATGAAACTCTGATCTGTACCTGGACTTGGGCAGCTCTCCATCATCTTTCCTCCACCGTACTGTAGGCACTGGGTCACCTCGGGCCTCACATTTAAATTCTGCACTGTCATCCACAGTTACCGCCAAGTTACTGGGTCTCTTCACAAATGATGGTCTCTCTAAAATTAGAAAGAGCCGTCTCAAGGTAAAATTTTAAAATGAACCAGGTGAAAAACACTTTAGGAGTTCAGTAAGAGCATATTTTTAACTTAAAATAATAGTGGGGAAATTATTCCACAGAGTTCCCTCTTTCTAGAAGCTTCTCCCTAGGTCTGGTGATTCCTCCTAGACCTCCACCCATATCTTCGGTTATTTTATCTCAGACTGCTTTTCTGGTTTCTTCTCTCCTCTTTCTACCCAGCCTCCCAAAAATATTTGGCTTACCAATATTTCTTTCTCCCTTGTATACAGATACAAAATGATAAGAGATATATTTTTCGATAAGAAAATGAAATAAAATTACACTTACCTAAAACAGTTAGTTCTGCTACTTCACTCTCACGTTCCCCAACCATATTGGTGCCAACACAAACATATTTGCCAGCGTCACTTTTACGGGTGTAAGTGATCATGAGCTTTCCTCCTCGTATCTTAAAAAAAAAGTTTCACATTAATAATACTAAAATTGCTTCAGCTATGTTTACATGACAGAGGTCTTCATAAGCGAAGACTACTTTCTAAGCATATAAATAAAAGTGTAATTATATCAAACAGCTGATGTGTAGTATTTGCAATTTTTAGGTGGTAACTTTCAAGAGAATTGACTCCAAAGGTACAATATAAAAGAAGCAAAAATGTTTATCCTTACTTACATTTCATGGACAGTTATTATATTCTGTATAGCTGGAAACTTGTTGCCCAATCGACGAAGTTATTTCATATTATTTATTTAAGTGAAAACCACAAAAAAACTGAGTGAGTAATTTGGTTAGCAAGAGGAAAGAGAAAAAGAAAATTCTTAATACCATATGACTATAATTAATATAGTAATATGTATTAGCTGTAAGTGATTTTAAGAAAATGTATTCTAGCAGTATATGAATTAATTAAAATGTCTCTAATAACTTGATTTCCCAGAGTTGCTTTAAAGGAATGTATCTTCATTGCCAAAACACAGTAGAATGTGTCATTTCCTTAAAAACATGATGTTGCTAACACCCAAGCTGTTTCTGGGAACTTAGGAGGCAGAGACTGAACAGGTCCCAATAAATCATCTGGAAAGTCACATTTGAGTACACTCTTGAACACAGAATTAATTGAATACAAATTAATTTTAAATGTAAGCAGGCATACAGTACAAGATGTCAACATTAATTAAGATTGGCCTGTCCTTACTTAATTTAACATGCTTTTGGTTCAGCGTTGAGTTCAGTTACCTATGAATGTGTATAATGCCCTGATCTTAGGTTTTGTTAGGGAAAATTTCCAGAATGTTTATTCATAGAGGTTTAGACCTCATAGTTACTAACTAGGTGAAGGAAGGAAGGAAGGGAGGAAGGGAGGAAGGGAGGATGGGAGAGAGGGAAATATTCAAGCACATTTTTTTCAGAATACATTATGGAGTTCATTGAGATTACTACTTTGTAAAGATAAGGTTTTGGATGCCTCACTGTTTTGAAAGCCTAAATAGCTTTATTTTAATCTAGGCATCCTAACTAGGTATTCTGGCCAAGTCTTTACCTATTAGAGCAAACAAAACATTAACACAATTTTTAACTTTTGTTAGTTTAGAACTTGATTTTTTTTCAATAGTATCATAAAGAAATGATCATCCTGCTCCAGATTACTATCCAGGGATTCTTCTCTGCATCATTCATCATGCTATCCTCATACGCAGAATAATGCCTACACATAGTAGGCACATAGTAGTCACTCAAAATATTGTTGTTAAATGTAAACTACTATTGTTAGCCTATTATCCAATTTAAAACATTTCTATAAAAGTTTATTACAGTTATATGTTAAAAATCATTTTATTATTTCATACATACTTAAATTTTCAAATGGAAAAATATAAAGCGAATAAATGTCACACAAAAAATGCATGTTAATTACCATCAGTACTTTTGAACGTTCTTCTTTTAATTCTGTGTGTGTACACACACTCACATACACATATGCATATACACAGACACACATACAGTGAATATGTTTATATATACGTATACACATATAAACATATATATATATATATATATACACATAATTTTCCTAAAGTAGAATCATGTGAGAGACGCTGTTTTGTAAGCTGCATTTTCAACAGTATGAGGCATTTTTATGTTTTAAATGTTCAAGAAATTTTACACAGATCCTCAGCCTCAATTTCCATGGCTACCTACAATTCTAACATTCAGGTTTATTATATTTTATTTAACTATTCCCCTACTGATAGATATTTAACATATTACTGCTAGCTAATTTAGGTATGTCATTCTTCCCTCTTATGAACAGTATTGAAATCAGCATCCTTTTGTATACATCTTTTCTCATATGTGCAGTTATTTCCTGAGGAGCTATCGAAGTAGGATTCTCAGATGTATACCCAACTTAAGGCTATTGGTTTACATTGCTAATGATCTTATGCTTTATAAAGTCCTTTTAGCAGGACTTTATAGAGTATAGTATAAAAATATCATTTAAATATCTTTATTTATCATAACCCCGCTGTGAGACTGGGGAAGTGTTAAAATAACCTCGTTTTTCACTAAAGGGAACAGTGGCTCAGAAAAGTATAACCTCTCCTCCCACATACCTCCGGTATGTCCATTGTAACAACATGTTTTATCTATGCTTTTAAATGTCAGTCTCCCTGACCTTACTATGAACATTGAGGCAGAGGAGCGTATCTAATTCCTCTTGAGAGCCCTGTTACAATGCCTTGTAAATAGTAAAAATTTTGTGGGAGGAAAGTGACTTGTGCAATGTCACATAACAAGTTGGAACAAGATAAAGACTTTAATATATATCTCTTTGGCTATAAGAGTTATACAAATGAAAAATAAATGCACAGCCCCACATCCCTATTATCTTAATTACTGTTTAATAAACTTGAGTTTAAAAACTTGAGTTCTTGAAGTCCAGAATAATTTGAGTATCATTTTACCAAGATTTTCTAAAAAGAACTTTTGTAACCTTTCATGCACTGATTTTGGAATACTCGCATAAACATTTCCAGAAATCTTAAGGAAACAAAATTATTACAGGAAAAAGGGATGGCCACGCATGGTGGTTCATGCCAGTAATCCCAGGACTTTGGGAGGCCGAGGCAGGTAGGTCATGAGGTTGGGAGTTTGAGACCAGCCTGGCCAATATGGTGAAATCCCATCTCTTCTAAAAATACAAAAATTAGCCAGGCATGGTGGCGCATGCCTGTAGTCCCAGCTACTTGAGAGGCTGAGGCAGAATAATTGCTTGAATCTTGGAGGCGGAGGTTGCAGTAAGCTGAGACTGTGCCACTGCCCTCCAGCCTGGACGACAGAGCAAGACCCGATCTCAAAAAAAAAAAAAAAAAAGAAAAGAAAAAAGGAAGGTGAAAAATCCAATATCTGAAATGGAAGTTTAATTAGTTGAGGTGTAGCTAGATGTTTCTTTATTAATTCTACAACTTTGGCTAGCAAATGGAGCCTCCTCCTATGCCACAGAATCTGACCTTAAAGTCACTGCATATTTAGAAGCCAAGTTTATTGCTGAAAGAATTACACAATAATAAATAAAAGATATACCAAAATAAGAGAAAACACATGCTTTTAACATCCTCTTTGTTTTGAAAGTGAATAAGTGTTAAATGTGTTTTGTCACCTATAAAATGTAAGGGTTTAAGGATAATTTTAAGACATATTCAATTTATAGAAAAGTTGTGAGTCAAAGGATAATAACATAAATAATTGGCAACAGCATAGGTTTCTTTCTACAGCTTCAGTGTAATATAGTACTAATTTATGCTTCCAAATCTTAAATACTTCGGAATGTAGAATTTTAAATCAACTTGCTTATGCACATGTGGGGCACCCATTAACATTATATATTACAGCCCAATGCTATTATATGTTGAAAGAATCCATACAAATGGAGAAGGAGGGGGATTAATTAACAAGAGTAATGAGGGGACTGCCAGGAGATTCACAGACATGGAAAAATTCCAATTTCGAGATGAATGGAAGGAAACAATAGTTGAGGTAAACCAAAATTCAAAGAGAGCTATAAAACACTAAGGAATTTGTAGTATGCAGCCTATTACCATAGCTCCAATTATATATTATACTTAGCTGAATCCTGAAAACATTGTATAACTGAATCTATCAGACCTATGCTTTGGGAGCACATATCCATGTTTTTGGTATTGGATATAAATAGAAAAACTGTTTCTTTTCAATAAAAATTTATTTTACAGCCATCTTTTACAACTAAATCACATTGACTGTGTAAATTGAAAGTCACCCATCAGGCATTTTGGAAATACTTTCTCTATTCTTTGTAAGTAAACAAACCTTGAGTTTGTTTACTCTGTAAAACTTTTCTACAAGAAATGTTATTTGATAAATCAAGCATCATAGAAAACTGTTTTCATTAGTAACATAATATGACTAAAAAGCATATGGTTATGCAGTGTTCATATATATAAAACTTCAATATCAATGCAAAAATATAAAACAAATCAAGTCCTAAAAAAACATTAAACTTGCAAAACAGTTTTAATGAGAAAAATGCACTTTTTGTAACAATATCAGATATTAATCACCAATGACTAAACAAGGTCAACTAAATTGTACCTTTGCTTTTCTACTCAGTGTCTGCTTTACCAACATTATCTAGGTAAAACCCAACGATAACAAAACATACACAAAAATTTAAATTTTTTAAAAAAGATTTATAAATCCTAGATAAATATTTAGATATCTGTACTTAGGAGAGCAAAGTGAGCATGGGCTCTGGAGTCAGACCACCTTTTATTATGTATGTGTAACTTTAGCCAAAATATCAGTTCCTCTGTATTGCTTTAACCCTAAAATGGGAATCCTATTAATATCTAACTCTAAGGATATTAGGAAGATTACAAAATATATGATATAAAGCACTTAGAAAAATGGCTGCGCAGGGGGAGGTTCCAAGATGGCCAAACAGGAACAGCTCTGGAGTGCAGTTCCCAGCGAGAACAGCGCAGAGGGTGAGTGCTCACGGCATTTCCAAACAAGTTTTCACTGCACACAGACCAGGAGGTTTCCAGCCGAAAAGCGCCAAGCTTTTCAGCATGGCAGTTTCAGCTGGTGCCAGGTGGGCACACAGAAACTCACATAAGTCTGGGTGGCCGTTTTGACTGGCGCCCTGAAGGCCTGGGAGGCAGGGCCACCCATTCAACTGAAAGGGATGAGGCTGAGACAGGGAGCCAGGTGATCTGGCTCGTCCAATATCATCCCCACAAAACAAGCAATCTGAAGCGCTCTGGTTTCGCAGCAAGCGCAGCTGGGCCCAGGATGGTCCAGCTCAGTGCAGGGAAGAGTGTCCCCCACTACCCAGGCAGTCCGCCACTACTGAGGCAGTTCACACAGCAGCTGGGCAGAGCCTACAGTAGCTCAGCAATGCCTCTGCTGGC